TAATTTATATAATTTTTTTGTTCTTTTTAGTTTTTGGTTAAGTAACAGTTTCGAGTATCGCTACCCCGCTCCGCGTCCAAACTCTTAAACCCCCAATCTAACCATACAACAACAAACAAATCAAAACGAATAATATACATATTTTTAAAGCGATCCATACACCATTCTATCAACGCAGTATGCATGACATGACACAACATAGACAGAGACCCTCGTAATGTGCACAGATGCAGCAGGTGAAACTCGACAGGAGAAATTCTCCAAAGAGCGCTAGCTCTCTCAGACTGCCTTATTATTTGTCAACAGTTCGCGTTTCAGACTCCGATAGATTTTTGTTGGGTTTTCTTTCTTTTTTTTTGGGGGGGGGGGTATTTAAACATTTCTTGTTTGTTTTTGGTTTGTTTTGAGGTTTTTTGTGTTTTTTTGTGTTTTTTTGTGTGTGTTTTTTTTTTGGGGGGGGAGCAAAGAAACATGATTATAACAGAAATGCAAACTTTTCTAAGAGTGTAACAAAAAATTAAAAGTCACTAGAAGAAATTATATATGTGTCTCGACGAGGTGATATCAGGCGCTCGTCACTTTGTGGGCCTGTGGGGTTATTGGTATCATCTGAAAACTTATTCATTTGCTTGATGTTAATGAAAAAAATACTCATCTATCTTGAATAGAAGTCAAGATACTTGCAATTGAAGAAGGTCAGGTCGCCTGGTTGTAGTAGTAAAATTAGTGAGAAAATGATCCGCCAATATTTGGTAACTAAAATAGCTTGAGAGTCCTTGAAAACTGAAAAATGACACATTTTGTGGCTTTAATCAACGATTTCAATAAAACTCACAATGAAACATGTTTTTATATGGGCATACACGATGTTGAGTCCAAAAAAAAATTTGAGGAAAATGTCTCCGATTTAATTATTTTGACGAGCGCCTGATTTCACCACGCTGCCTTACATATTATCTCTCAATCCCTTCCAGAGTGTTTCCAACATGTTGGGCTGAGATGGGTGTAATTGCAGTGATAATTCCTGCAGTAATTCCAGGTTGTGTTGGGTCAAAGTCTGCCGTGTTTGTGATCTAGACAACATGATTGCTACTCTTGTGCGAGAATGGCTCAATCGGCAGAAAAATTGGTTGGGGGGGAGGGGGTCTCTTGTGGCCTAGAGGTTAAGATGTTCGCCTCTCATTCAAAGGTCTCGGGTTCGAATCCGGGTAGCGACAGAGAAAAAAATTCTTCTCCAAAATTGTCTCCTTTTACCTTCATTCCTGCTCCCTAACAATGTTTTGTCGTCTGATTTCGTCTCCACTTTCTTCCTCCACCCCCTCATCCCCTTTGCCCACACCTTTAGGCTCCTGACTCTTTCTGCAGCCTTTCTACGGCTACTCCTT